AAAACATCATGTATTTGTATTGCTGTCACATTGTATGGTGTGCTCCCCTGTCTCTGTCAAACTGGTTTCTTGTCCCATTCTATCATGAGCATTAGTAGCAGCATCGGCACCGACCGATTTTTCGTTTATCGGCCGACAATTTGGCCGATAAATGGCCAGTCTATGGCCTGCATTAGATTGCATGATCAGATTGTCATGTGTATGGTGACTTGTAAAAGCGACATTAACTCGATTTTAAAAAATAATTTTGCAGTATGTGATTGGAACTCAGAATATGGTCTTCTGCTGCTCTCCTGCTCCTTCAAATTCCTCTTCTTGCTGCTGTGATGTGCCTTCGGATTAGAGGGGGGCTCCGTTTCCCTCTCCATACCCCCCTGTATGGGGGAAGGTGCACAGCTACTCTTGCCCAATCCTGGGATGGACTGTGCGGAGCACAGAGAGCAGAGCACATCAACACAACTGACACGCACTGCTTGTTCCAGCAAAGGGAAGCGAGGAGGAAAGGAGAGGCGCTGGAGCCATGGAGAACATTACAAGGAGAATACAGGAAGAAATGATTGAATGAAAAGTCAATTCGAGGGCCAACCAGCAGCAGATTATTATGGAGAACACGGATATCATTTCATGTCACTTGGATACTCCCCTTCACCAGACTTCATCAGATAAAAGATCCGACACCCAGCGCTCCTCTCTCACATTTCTGGCTGTCTGTGTCCCCGCTAAGGACAATCGTCTACTCTATCAGTCCTAGTGACCCCTGGCACTGAGTGTTCAGTAGTCATTGGAACAGGAAGTGAGGAGAAATCCTCCACTGGGGACACTCGTTCTGTTGCTAAGTGTGGCCACACACACTACAGACCGATCGCACAGTCCCTGTACAACTTCCTTTGTCATTGGAGGACAAATCTAAGCAGGCCGATCACATTGGATTCCCATCATTTTGGAGAGATTTCCTCTCATGCACTTTTATGCTCCCAGAACAGAAAGTGAAGAGAAATCATCTCAATGGAGACACAGATAGCGAATAAAAACTTGCTTCCTGTTGCACCCCAGAACAGGAAGGGAAATCACCACAATAGGGACACAGTGAATAAAAACTCACTCCATGTTGTGCCCTCAGAACAGGAAGTGAAGGGAAATCGTCCCAATGGGGACACACATAGTGAATAATTCACTTCCTGTTGTACCCTCATAACAGGAAGTGAAATTGTCCCAATGGGGACAAAGATAGTGAATAAAAACTCACTTCCTGTTGTGCCCCCAGAACAGATAGCAAAATCACCCCAATGGGGACACACAGTGAATAAAAACTCACTTCATGTTGTGCCTTCAGAACAGGAATTGATGAGAAATCGTCCCAATGGGGACACACATAGTGAATGAAAAAACTCACTTCCTGTTGTGCCCTCAGAACAGGAAGTGAAGGGAAATCACCCCAATGGGGACACAGTGAATAAAAACTCACTTCCTGTTGTGCCATCAGAACAGGAAGTGAACTCGCCCCAGTGAGGACACAGACAGTGAATTAAAAACTCACTTCCTGTTGTGCCCAGAGAACAGAAAGTGAAATCACTCCAATGGGGACACAGTGAATAAAAACAAACTCTGTGTTGCGCCCCCAGAACAGGAAGTGAAATCGTCCCAATGAGGACACAGATAGTGAATTAAAACTCACTTCCTGTTGTGTCCCCAGAACAGGAAGCAAAGAGAAATCACCCCAATGGGGACACAGTGAATAAAAACTCACTCCTTGTGCCCTCAGAACAAGAATTGAAGAGAAATCGTCCCAACGGGGACATAGATAGTAAATAATTCACTTCCTTTTGTGCCCTCAGAACAGGAAGTGAAGGGAAATAACCCTAACGGGGACATAGTGTATAAAAACGAATTGCATGTTGTGCTCCCAGAACAGGAAATTAAATTGTCCCAATGGGGACACAGACAGTGAATAAACGTGCACTTCCCACTGAGCCCCTAGAACAGGAAGTGAAGGGAAATCGCCCCAATGATGACACAGACAGTAAAAAAAACTTACTGCCTGTTGTGACCTTAGAAGAGGAAGTGAAGAGAAATCACAATGGGGGCACAGTGAATAAAAACTCACTCCATGTTGCATCCTCAGAACAGGAAGTGGAGGGAACTCACCCCAATGGGGACACATGGAACACAAATTCTGACAGATGTTTTAACTATTCTCAGCCCCCAGAAAAGTGTGGCCTTATCAGCATGGCAGTCAGACAAGTAACATTTTGAGATTCAGCCTGAGCTGCTTCCTCCATGACAGTCCATCAAGGACTAATTGGCCAGGACGGTAACATTCCACCATGTGACAGCCCGCAGACTCCTCCCCTCCTTTCACCACATCGCAGCTCCCTCTCCTCCCTCCTGCCACCACGTGCCCAGAGAGGAGTCACCCTTCCCAGCAATCAGCGCACGCCGCTCGCCGAGCAGGTTTATGGGGATTGTAGTTTCTGCCTGCGTAAACTGCGGTGTAGGAAGGGCGCGGAGAACTACATCTCCCAGAATGCAGCGAAACTCCCGGCGGTGGCGCGGAGGCCGCTTGATGAAGGACACAGGTCACGCATGCGCAGTACGGGATTTGGCTCATGTGGAGGTCAGAGCAGTGAGGAGGTGCGTGCAAGGCTTCGGTGGAGGCCGGGGTTACTGGAAATGGAGGGGGTCTATGTGGGTGAGGGGGTATTAAAGGGAACCTCTCTGCTTACCTAGTTAGGGCAGAGTGACAGGTCCTCTTCATAACCCTCATCAGTATATTCTCTGTTTGGGAGCCTACAGGGGGCTGACCTTTCCACTAGTCACCGTCAGGGGGGGGGACTGACCTTTCCCCTAGTCACCGTCAGGGGGGGGGACTGACCTTTCCACTAGTCACCGTCAGGGGGGGGGACTGACCTTTCCACTAGTCACCGTCAGGGGGGGGACTGACCTTTCCACTAGTCACCGTCAGGGGGGGGGACTGACCTTTCCACTAGTCACCGTCAGGGGGGGGACTGACCTTTCCACTAGTCACCGTCAGGGGGGGGACTGACCTTTCCCCTAGTCACCGTCAGGGGGGGGACTGACCTTTCCCCTAGTCACCGTCAGGGGGGGGGACTGACCTTTCCACTAGTCACCGTCAGGGGGGGACTGATCTTTCCACTAGTCACCGTCAGGGGGGGACTGACCTTTCCACTAGTCACCGTCAGGGGGGGACTGACCTTTCCACTAGTCACCGTCAGGGGGGGACTGACCTTTCCACTAGTCACCGTCAGGGGGGGACTGACCTTTCCACTAGTCACCGTCAGGGGGGACTGACCTTTCCACTAGTCACCGTCAGGGAATGGGGGGGGGACTGACCTTTCCACTAGTCGCCGTCAGGGGGGGAATGACCTTTCCACTAGTCACCGTCAGGGGGGGGGAATGACCTTTCCACTAGTCACCGTTACGTTAGGGAATGGGGGGGACTGACCTTTCCACTAGTCGCCGCCGTCCGGGGGGGGGGGGGGGGGACTGCTGACCTTTCCACTAGTCATTGTCGGGGGGGGGGGGGGAAATTACCTTTCCACTAGTCACAGTCGGGATGGGGGGGACTGACCTTTCCACTAGTCACCGTCAGGGGGGGAATGACCTTTCCACTAGCCCCCATCAGGGGATGGGGGGGGGACTGACCTTTCCACTAGTCACCGTCAGGGGTTGGGGGGACTGACCTTTCCACTAGTCACCGTCAGGGGGGGGGAACTGACCTTTCCACTAGTCACCGTCGGGATGGGGGGGGACTGACCTTTCCACTAGTCACCGTCGGGGGATGGGGGGACTGGACCTTTCCACTAGTCACCGTCAGGGGATGGGGGGACTGGACCTTTCCACTAGTCACCGTCGGGATAGGGGGGAAAGACCTTTCCACTAGTCACCGTCAGGGGATGGGGGGACTGACCTTTCCACTAGTCACCGTCAGGGGATGGGGGGACTGACCTTTCCACTAGTCACCGTCGGGGGATGGGGGGACTGACCTTTCCACTAGTCACCGTCAGGGGATGGGGGGACTGACCTTTCCACTAGTCACCGTCAGGGGATGGGGGGACTGACCTTTCCACTAGTCACCGTCAGGGGATGGGGGGGGGACTGACCTTTCCACTAGTCACCGTCAGGGGATGGGGGGGGACTGACCTTTCCACTAGTCACCGTCAGGGGATGGGGGGGGGGGGGACTGACCTTTCCACTAGTCACCGTCAGGGGATGGGGGGGGGACTGACCTTTCCACTAGTCACCGTCATGGGGGGACTGGATGGGGGGGGACTGACCTTTCACTAGTCACCGTCAGGGGATGGGGGGACGACCTTTCCACTAGTCACCGTCAGGGGATGGGGGGACTGACCTTTCCACTAGTCACCGTCAGGGGATGGGGGGACTGACCTTTCCACTAGTCACCGTCAGGGGATGGGGGGACTGACCTTTCCACTAGTCACCGTCAGGGGATGGGGGGACTGACCTTTCCACTAGTCACCATCAGGGGGGGGACTGACCTTTCCACTGGTCATGCCACTAGTCACCGTTGGGGGGGGGGGACTGACCTTTCCACTATTCATGCCACTAGTCACCGTCGGGGTCGGCGTGGGGGGGGGGGGGGGGGCTGCCCTTTCCACTAGTCACTGTCGGGGAGGGAAATGACAGACCGCAGCTGTGTACAAAACACCTACAGTTTGCCATATTGTATTTTATAGAAGAATACTGCGCTGCAGATTGGAAAGGAAATCTTTTTAGAGCAGTAAGTTACAATACGGCAATATGTGTTACAATTGTGTAGGTGATATCTTTTTTTTATTTATTTTTTTTAATTGCAATATTTTTCCCCACAAAACTGCAGTAACCCTTTACCTTCAGTGATTCTCTTGTAGGTTACAAAGTCCAGAAATGATTCCCGTTGTGCCCAGTAATACAGCCCACTGGACGCTCTATCTAGCATTAACAATTGTGGTGTTCTTTTAATACAGGACTGGTGAACAACAATGGCAGGAAAACTCTTTGAGTCACTTGGAAAGCTTGGACTTGGGCTAGTAGTGGTTGGAGGTGTTGTAAATTCAGCCCTTTTTAATGGTGAGTGAACATGTATCATATATAGCTATTATTTTTGAAGGCTCTTGTATAATGCCGTCAATTTACGCAGCGCTTTACATATATAGTACATTCACTTCAGTCCCTAACCCTCAAGGGGCGTCCCTATCTCCCATTCATACATATAAGGCTGGCCATACATTATGCAATTTTCTTCCGAATTTTGCTTTAGATTTACCAAAAACCATATATTATGAAGTCAAACCTAAACAACACTTTCAGTTGTATCCAATTAGGCGGGCCCTTGTGCTACATAGTTGAAGGTAAATCTAAAGGAAATTGGGTAGAAAATTGTAGTGTATGGGCAGCCTTCGGGCCAATTAACCTGCCAGCATGTCTTTGGAGTTGGGAGGAAACCCACGCATGCACAGGGAGAACATACAAACTCCAGGCAGGTGGTGCTGTAGTTGGGATTCAAACCAATGACCCTAATACTGCCAGGCAGAAGTGCTAACTAGGGATGCACCGAAACTCCGGTGGCTGAAACGTTTCTGCTGAAAACACCCCTTTTGGCTGTCGACCAAAATGAAAAAAAAAACACCGATACAGGTGTCGAAAATACCCCGCCCCTCAAAGCCGCCCGTCCGCCTGCCGCTCGGTAGTTCACTCTTACCTGAGAAACCATTGATCCCGGTGCTGGGCATAGAGATGAGAGAAGGAAAGATGGCTGCCACACATCTCTATGTCCTTGGGGGACCGGAGCAATGTCACTTCTGGTTCCAGCCATTTTTTTTCTTTTTTTTTTAAAGCACTAGATCATTGCAGAGGAGAGATGTGGGGTCTTATTCACCCCTTATCTCTCCATAAAGAGGACCTGTCACTAATTATTCTTATCACAAGGGATGCATACATTTCTTGTGATAAAAATACAAGTGATTGCAATTTTTTTTTAAAAGGAGCAGTGCAAAAAACAAACATTAAATACATTTTTTAAAAAAAAGTTTAAAGTGCCCCTGTGCACATGTAGTGGTGAACGTATACGTACGCCATGCCCACATATGTAAATGGTGTTAAACCACACACGTGAGGTATCGCCATGAACGTCGGAGAAAGAGCAATAATTCTCACACTAGACCTCCTCTGTAACTTCACACTGCTAACCTGCAGAAATTTTTAAAGCATCACCCATGGAGATTTTTAAGTACCGCAGTTTCACGCAATTCCACGAGCATGCGCAATTTTAAGGCGTGACATGTTGGGTCTCTATTTACTCGCCGTAACATCCTCTTACATATTTTTTACAAAACAATCGGGGTATATATATTTTTTTTTTATTTAATCAAAGTGTATTTTTTTCTAAAAAATATACATTTTTAAAAACTGCGCATTTCGGTTTTTGGCCAAGTGCATTTTGAATTTTCATTTTCGGCATCAGAATTTTCATTTCGGTGCACCACTAGTGCTAACCATTTAGCCACTGTGCTGCCAAATGAGCTGCTTTGTCTTATTAAAGGATATTTCCACTTTAGCTGTACATTTTTTCAAACCCACCCAGTACATCTTCACAATACATATTTCCCCATGGTTATCCCTTTAACCTCCCTGGAGGTATTCCTGAGTGTAGCTCGGGGTAAAGTTTCAGTACCACAAGTGGTAACCCCGAGCTACACTCAGGAATACACTGCAGCGTTTCTCCGGGATCCCTCGATCACTTACCTTGTCCTGCGCTCCCGCGATGTCCAATGCAATGTCCTCCGGCGGATGCCGGCATCTGTCTTCTGGGTTCCGTCCCCTGCGACGTCGGGACGTACAGGGACAGAACGGCGGGAAATTTAAAAATGTGAAAAAGTGACATACACTAAAATCACATAGTAAAACATTCCTGTATCAAACCATTTCACATACATTTTGTCCCGAGTGCTTTGTCCGGCGCCCTGCCTGCATTTTTACTGTTCTTTCTGCCTGGAAACTGAGAAATGTCCATGGCGCCCAAAAAGTGTCCCTTTAGGTCAAAAGCGGTTTTAGACCGGCTAGAGAACAGTGATAGTAAATCAGAACCACTTGCAGAATTGAGTGATAATGATTCGTGGGGGAAATTCATCATCAGATACTGAAAACGATTCTGCGACTTTGTTCAGTGATGTGCGAACTTGGCGCTATATTTCAAATTTCAGTGTTTTTGGTTTGATTATATTATTAAATTAAATTTATTATTATATTATTTTTTTATGATTAGTTATAATTTATGATTTCGGGTTTCAAATTTTCATACCCGGGATGTTTACTAGACTCTTGTTTGGACAGATTTCAGTGCGTTATTCCTAAAAATTACAGGCCTACAATAAAAAAAAAAAAACATATATCCATGCAAAAAGTAGTACCGCTTTGAGCACAGAAATACTGACATAATCAGACTGCTAGGGAGGCTACAGACCCTGCAAGTACAGAAAGTTAAATGCCTAAAGTGAATTCATCTCCAAAGGGCCTGTTCACGCTAGAATGCCGAGTGGGAAACCTGTGTTCTGTGCCGTTTTCCAGCACCGCATTCAAATCACACTGCCCTTGCGATCTGCTGTAGGTGTCAGTTCAAAGTTAACGACACCCCAAACGCAGTGCATTTGCCCGCACCAGATCTCATGGTACAAAAGTACCAAGCGAGCCAGTTGCAGTGCATTTACAAAAGTACTACATGCACTACTTTTGGTGTGGTGAGAGTTCAGCAATTCAAAATGAATAAAGCTGAAATTGCTCTGCATGTAAATCATACAGGAACACGCAGCTCGTTCTTGTGCAATGAACATGCAGTTCCTAGTGTGAATGGGGACTAAGGCCTTGTTTAGCTGTTTTTTGCTAAGCAAGTTAGCCCCTCCCACTCTCCGATTTCTACAATAGGAAGGCTAATTATAATGTAGTCCTGAGGCCGAGTTTGCCATAAGCCCACCTCTCTGTCTCAGCCAATTAGATGAATCTTTGATTCATTCTTAGCACACAAAGCTTCCTCTGAATGGCCCATCTTGATTTTGTTTCGGGAGCAGGACAGGAAGCGCTCATCCCGCTGTTGAAACACATCACTGTATACTGTATGTAGCTGAGGCTACATATACTGTATACAGCGTATTCAGCACAATGGTTTGGGCCAGCTTGGTCCAAACAAACTAAAATTAGAGTGTAACTAAACCCACAACAGTAAAATCAGTCTTTTTATGCAGTAAAGCATGCTTGTTATACTTACTGTGGAACCTAAGGGGTTAATCCTCTGTGTTGTGTAAAAAGGCTGTTTGATCCTGACTTCTCTGATCCTCCCCTTCTTCCAGTGTCCCCCTCTTATGTCTTGAGAAGACATATCGGGTGGAGACACTTTACACGCAATTTAATGTGTGTTGCTGGAGAGGGGTTTTTTCCTTGAGAGTGCATGTGATCAGCACAAGGCCTATGAGACAGAGGTCAGGGGTTCTGCATCCTCCTAGAGAAATCTCCTTCTTGTAAGCTGTAACCAGTGCTCGATTGGACGCTGATAGAAGTCACAAGACTGTTTCAACTGCTGATGAGAAAAGGTATTTAGCAGTTTATAGTTACCAAAATAATTGCATTTCCATGTACTGTATGCTGTGGGAGACCAGAAGGCAGGGTCCGGGGAGACCAGATATAGTGAATGCAGGGTCCGGGGAGACCAGATATAGTGAATGCCGGGTACGGGGAGACCGGATATAGTGAATGCCGGGTACGGGGAGACCGGATATAGTGAATGCCGGGTACGGGGAGACCGGATATAGTGAATGCCGGGTACGGGGGAGACCGGATATAGTGAATGCCGGGTACGGGGGAGACCGGATATAGTGAATGCCGGGTACGGGGGAGACCGGATATAGTGAATGCCGGGTACGGGGAGACCGGATATAGTGAATGCGGGGTCCGGGGAGACCGGATATAGTGAATGCGGGGTCCGGGCAGACCGGATATAGTGAATGCGGGGTCCGGGCAGACCGGATATAGTGAATGCGGGGTCCGGGCAGACCGGATATAGTGAATGCAGGGTCCAGAGTTTAGAAACGCTTTAAATGAGACTTGGAGATCCACTCTAAAGTGTAGCTGCGTCTTTATTCCAATAAATTCCCTATGCTCCCTCCTCCCCACCCCTATGTAGTAAGCAAACAAATCTGCCCTCAGATGTAGCAAAGTGTCTGGATTTAAGCGGTGCCAGGTAGTGTTTACTCTCGAATCTATCCTTGGCTTGGCTCTTGTGCTCCATTGTGCAGGCAGCTATACGCACTCCTTGAATAGGGTAGTTCTGACGAGAGAGTACGTTTTCCCAGTGTAGACACAGCACTAGAACACTCACAGAGGGTCTGTCCCTTCTCTGATTTAACAGCTAGAAATTAATTTTGTCTGTGGTCTCTCTTCAGCCTCTAGTTGAGACCTTGTGCTGAGTCCAGCTGCCAGAACAAGACATTCCATCTAAAATCCGTAAATGGTCGCTTTATCAGATTGTTTGTAACCCTGACATATGGATATGAGTGCAGTTTGAGAAAAATAGGCAAGTGATTTTTAGGAAATCTGCTTATAAGTTGAATTTTCACTTATCTTGGTGAATGAGATAAAACAAATTCACTTTGCAAAGGCTACCCAATCGTGTTCAAGGGGGAAAAAAAAACAAAGAGATTTGCTCTCACGTGATTGTCCAAAAAAAGCTCATTCCTGCTAACTGAAAAGCTCTGACTCTGCTGGGGTTGTTTCCTTTGCAGAGAGACCACTGCTTCCCCACAGTGTTCAGGGGTCTTTCTCTGCAGCATACCGAATTTCTACTCTAAAGAAAACCAACTGTTAGGCATTGCACATCTTTTGTTTTGATGCACCTAGAATGTATTCCAACTGATTTACAGTGGAACTTTACCCATAACAACTTGATAAAAAATGTTCTTTAGCAAGGAACATACATTCCACATTAAAAACTATACTACCAAAATTAGTGTGTTGTAAATTTCCTCCAGCTTTGCTCCTTTTTTCTTCTTGACAGGGGCTGCCATTTTGCTGAAGCCCAGAGCCCCTGAGCAGCATTAAAACTTTAGGCTGTCAACAGATCAGCCTATATCAGTGGTTCTCAACCTTCCTAATGCCGTGACCCTTTAATACAGTTCCTCATGTTGTGACCCCCAACCATAAAATTATTTACCCAGTAATTACAATTCATGAGTGTCGTTTTACCTCCAATACTGCTGCTTTCAACACAGTAGCTGCTTTTAACACAGTAGCTGCTTTTAACAGAGTAGCTGCTTTCAACACAGCAGCTGCTTTCTACACAGTAGCTGCTCTTTACACATCGGAAATATGTGTTTTCTGATGGTCTTAGGGGACCCCTGTGAAAGGGTCGTTCGACCCCCAAAGAGGTCGCGACCCACAGGTTGAGAACCACTGGCCTATATAAATTCGGCACAGAGCTGAAAATAGAGAGCATGTGCAGAGCAGGATCAGACAGTGTATTACTGCATTTTAAACCGTATAGGCACTTATTGTTAATGTTTTACATGGCTATACCTGCAGAAGTGAACTAGCAGGACTGCGTTTTCTGACTAAATTTCCCCTTGATGATCAGTGCCGATCCCTTTGCTGACAATTGCCGGTTCTCGGCAGTACTTTCCTCACCGCGTGAGGAAAGTGCAGCCGATAATCGGCAACTGTATTTACCGGTGATCTACTACGTCATTGGACACAGCTGATCATGTGGTAAAAGGCCGCTGTTATTGGCCGTTTACTGTATGACGTGAACTGTGTCCGTAGGACACAGCATTCACCGGGGGCGCGCAGGGGGGCATGTTCTGGTGTCGTCCCAGAACCTGACAACCGCTCTGTAGCCATCCTTGGCAAAGACATGTAGCAGAATACATTTTGGTGTAAATTTATGATGAAATTAGATTTTATTTTTACATTTTTTACTGGACATGTTTAATAGCAAAAATTCAAATGTTTTTTCTCAAATTGTCGATCTTTTTTTTTTTTTTTTTTTTTTTGTTTTGTATAGTGCAAAAAATAAAAAAACGCACAGGCGATCAAATACCACCGAAAGAAAGCTGTATTTGTTTGAAAAAAAAGTTGGGTGCAGCGTTGCATGACCGCACAATTGTCAGTTAAAGTAATGCAGCGCCATAACGCTAAAAATGGCCTGGTCCGGGGTAAATCGTCTATAGCAGGGGTGTCCAAACTTTTTTCAAAGAGGGCCAGATTGGATGAAGTGAACATGGTGGAGGGCCGAACGTTTTTCCGAACATTCTTTGAACCATTACAATTAAATGCAAATAAATTATTTTATGCCAATTAATTGCAAACTACATACTTTTCATTTCATAACATTAAGATCAACTGACAGCTGAGTTTTCACAATGTATTGAAAATAAATTTTTAAAAAAACTTACCTGCACTAATGTGAAGGGTGAAAAAGGTAGCTGGAGCTGAAGTCTCTGCTCGGCAGCCAGGGGAGGGGAAGAGAAACACACTTCACACTGGAAGCCCGGCCCTGACGTCACCGCCCTCTGTCGCTCCCAACGCGGCGCAGTCACGCATGCGCACTGCTCTCAAGCAGAAGACTGTCTGCCATAGAAGGGAGGGCCACATTACACAGAGCAGGGAGGGCTGTTGGAGGGCTGTATTAAACCGACCCCCGGGCCGTAAATGGCCCGCGGGCCGGACTTTGGACATGCCTGGCATAGAAGGTGTACACCTTCTATGGTGTACACCTTCTATGCCAGGCATGTCCAAAGTCCGGCCTGCGGGCCATTTACGGCCCGGGGGTCATAGAAGGCGTACAGCAGCATAGTATTAGTATGAGGGAAGTGGAAATAAATTATAAATGTTTGAATAGATGGCACATCACCCCCTACCTGGAGCACAAGATGAATAGAGAAATTTCACAGATGCTGTTGGAGAGTGGAGAGGTGGGCACGTGGTATCATATTTGGTGGGAGTGTTCAGAAATACAGGTGTTCTGGCGAAGGATAGTTCACTTGATAAGGAAGATTACTAAAATTAATATAGAATTGGATCCAGAATTAGGCCTCCTCCATATCTCAGAACTCCCAGTGAAAGCTTATAAGAGTTCGAGGATATGGTACTACTTAACCGCAGCAAAAAGCCTAATACCCAGGTACTGGAAGAAAAGAGAAGTGCCAACTGAAGAAGATTGGAAGGGTAGAGGAAATCAGATATCCGGGACAGAAAGATTGTATTATACGCATGAGGACAAGCTGGAGATCTATAATAAAAAATGGAAAGGATGGGGAAAATATAAAGAAATGGTGAAATAGATGAAGTGATTATGCTCCTGGTAGTTGGTTTAGAATTGGATTCAGGAACAACAGAATTATATAGAGTAAATGAGAGAAGAGAGAATGTGGAGAGTGGGAGGGTAGGGGGAAGGGGGGGGATGGTAAGAAAATAAGGTCATATATAGGAATAAATTAAATATGTTTTTGATAAATATTTTAATAGAAATGTTGAAATGACCTGTATATGAAGTTAAAAATTAATAAATATTTATAAAAAAAAAAAAAAAGAAGATAGAAGGTGTACACCATAGAAGGTGTACACCATAGAAGGTGTACACCATAGAAGGTGTACACCATAGAAGGTGTACACCATAGAAGGTGTACACCATAGAAGGTGTACACCATAGAAGGTGTACACCATAGAAGGTGTACACCATAGAAGGTGTACACCATAGAAGGTGTACACCATAGGGCAAGTGGTTAATGTTTGTGTAAACCCTCCATTCTGTGATTCCACTCTTTTGGTTCTCGTCCTGCTGCACATATTTGGTTTTCATGGTATGTATTTGTCTTTTCTACCCACCAGTGGATGCTGGCCACCGCGCTGTCATATTCGACCGATTCCGAGGGGTTCAAGAAACTGTAGTAGATGAAGGAACACATTTCCTCATCCCATGGGTACAGAAGCCAATCCTCTTTGATTGCCGGTCCCGCCCCCGCAACGTCCCTGTGATTACAGGGAGCAAAGGTAGGTTATAATAGTGAAAGTAATGATAGAAAAGTCAGATGCTTTGTCCAATACAAACCACTGTTTCCGTTTCTTCCCAGATCTGCAGAATGTTAACATCACTTTGCGTATTCTCTTCCGGCCGATTTCCAGCCAGTTGCCAAGGATCTACACCAGCATTGGCGAGGACTACGATGAAAGAGTTTTACCTTCGATTACTACTGAGATTCTGAAATCCGTGGTGGTGAGTTTGTGTCGCATGCAAATCCCACACCTGCACGACATCCACATAGTCAGAAAATAGATGCACCACTTTGTCTGATCTGATAGTTTCAATATTCCATTAATCTGTGCCATGCATTGCATACATCAGTCAAGCAGAAAGTAGACACACATCCATCACGTCCAGCTTAAAGTGGTTCTAAAGACTGAAAGTTTTTACCTTCATACCTTCTTCATGCAGCAGCGCCCCCAGCCCCCCAATACTACCTAAACCCCCCTCTCTATCCAGCAATGTGCACTGGAGTCTCGGCTAGCCCGGGACTCCTCTTCATTGTCTGAGAGAGCCATTGGTTCCCATTGCTGTCAATCACAGCCAGTGAGCCAATGAAAAGGGGCGGGGCGAGCAAGCTGCGGCTCCAGGTATGAAGACGCACGAAGCAGCGGGTGCCCTCATAGCAAGCTACTTGCTATGGGGGCACCCGACAGGAGGGAGGGGCCAGGAGTGCCAGTGGGGGGACTCGAGAAGAGGAGGATCTGGACTGCTCCATGAAAAACCACTGCACGCAGCAGGTAAGTATAGACATGTTTGTTTGTTTTTTTTAAATAAGTCTTTAGAATCCCTTTAAAGACACATAAATAAAACCTGCATTCTCCTCTTTAACCTGCCTAGCAGTCTGATTATGTCAGTATTTCTGTGCTCAAAGCGGTACATTTTTTTTGCATGGAAATATGTTTTTTTTTTTATTGTAGGCCTGTAATCCTTAGGAATAGCTCACTGAAATCGGTCTGAACAAGAGTCTAGTAAACATCCCGGGTATGATAAAATTAGAATACATGAAATCATAAATTATAATCGAATAAAATAATCATAAAAAATAATATATAATAATAAATTTAATTCAATAATGTAATCAAACCAAAAACACTGAAATTTGAAATAGAGCGCCAAGTTCGCACATCGCTGAGCAAAGTCGCAGAATCGTTTTCAGTGTCTGACGAATTTCCCCCACGAATCATTATCACTCAATTCTGCAAGTGGTTCTAATTTACTATCGCTGTTCTCTAGCCGGTCTAAAACCGCTTTTGACCTAAAGGGACGCTTTTTGGACACCATGGACGTTTCTCAGTTTCCAGGCAGAAAGAACAGTAAAAATGCAGGCAGGGCGCAGGACAAAGCACCCGAGACAAAATGTATGTGAAATGGTTTGATACAGGAATGGAATACTATCAGATTTTAGTGTATTGAGTGAATGTTACATTTTTGAATTTTCCCGCCGGTTCCGTCCCCCGTATGTACTGATGCTCGCAGGGAACGGAACCCGTAGACAGATGCCGGCATCGACCTGGGACACTGCAGGGGGGACATCGCGGGAGCGCAGGACAAGGTAAGTGCTGGAGGGATGCCAGAGCAACGCTACAGGGTATTCCCGAGTGTAGCTCGGGGTTACTGCTTTTGGTACTGAAACTAAACCCCAAACTACACTTGGGAATACCGCCAGGGAGGTTAATCTGAAGATAGAAGCTGATTGGATGCCATGCATTGCTACTTTTTTAGAATATATGGACAAAATATATTTTGCTACAAATATTTATCACTTTCTCCACCCCCTCACTTTTTTCCTTTTGATCTTCTTGATTTTCTGAATCTGACAGGCCAGGTTTGATGCTGGAGAACTGATCACACAGAGAGAGCTGGTTTCTCAGCAGGTCAGTGAGGATCTCACAGAGAGAGCAGCTACCTTTGGGCTTATTCTGGATGATGTGTCTCTGGTAAGTTAATTTTTTATCTGGTACAACATCTAAATATGTACTGAACAGAAGAGGTCAGGTTTCGAAGTGGTTGTAGCAAACTGAGAATATCTCAGGCTGCTGTGACTTTGCCTTGAATCCCCCGAGTGACAGTGTCTAACAGGGAATCTGTACATTGCTATCAATTACTTTTTTTGACGGAGGTCCAGCAGCGCTTGCTAGATATTTACAACACACCGTTGGGCCAACTAGTGTAGGTACAATCCCTCAGAAGGGCAGATTATTGTTTGACCACAAAAATGAATGCCAAAGTAAATCATCTTTTCATGTTCTGTTAAAGTACCAAATGTCACCAGTAGGTATTATTGCAGTCAAAAATCAACAAGTTCTGAAAGAGCCCATCGCCTTTAAATCCATGTGGAGATGCAGTAGAAGGGTTGACCCTCTTTTTGTTATGTTTTTGTATTTTGTTTTTTTTTTTCATTTAGTAAAGCTGAACTGAAAGCTGGAATAAAAGACACACATTTTTTACAGCTATGTATTCATCAATAAATTATTTTTAAATGCAACCTGGAAGAAGTATGCACTGTTTTGAGCCCTACTGGCTACAAGGTTGTTCCGGGTCAGTAAGTTCATTAAACTCCCTGTCTGAGTGTAGGGCTGTAACATCTAAGCCAGGGGTGGGCAAACTTTTTGACTTGAGGGCCGCAATGGGTTCATATATTGGACCCGGGGGCCGGACCAAGAGTAGATGAATGATGTGTATGTGTCATCCATAGTAAGTATAGTAATATTCCCCCATAGTAAGCATAGTAATTCATCCCCCCTTCAGTAATTCATCCCCCCTATAGTAATTCATCCCCCCTATAGTAATTCATCCCCCCTATAGTAATTCATCCCCCATATTAAGTCCCCCCCTGTGTCAATTCACTTACCTTTGCTCCACGCGTTCCTCTCGCCGTGTTCCCCGCGCCGTTCCGGTGTAGCATGAAAATCTGTCTCCTATGAGGATCTGTCCCCCTCGACGTATCTGCGCATGTGCCAGTTTCAGGCATTAGCAGCCGATCGGCGATCTCCGGCACATGCGCAGATACGTCGAGGGGGACAGATCCTCATAGGAGACAGATTTTCATGCTACACCGGTCTTCAGGGCGGACTGTGAGAGGAGCCTAGCTCCGCGGGCTGGATTAAAAGGTCCGCCGGGCCGTATACGGCCCGTGCGCCGTAGTTTGCCCATTGCTGATCTAAGCAATATGTATGGCCTTTACGGGGAGTCAACCTCATGCTGCCTGGTATTGGGACATGAAGCTGGGGCTTTACAACACCCCTCTTGGCACTAGCTGCTATGTTTTATAACCTAAGTGGAAATCCCTATTTGTCAGATCCCACTAGTGTGTAAAATGAAAAACAGATATATGTTTCATTGTTGGGGTTTATATACAATTTTAGACTTCGCATATGCTTTGTACATTTTGAATAGTCCTTACACTTTGCATAGAAGGGAAGAGATACCTTGGACTATACCTTTTTATGTACAAAGCATAATGATGCTTCTTCATCATGTACATCTTTGGTAGGATGTAGGTCGTTTTGTAATTTTTATTTGCTGCTCAATAGTTGAAAACGTCACTGTGGTAACCGCTACATATTTTTTGGATTCTTCCTGTAGACACACTTGACATTTGGAAAGGAGTTCACGGAAGCTGTTGAAGCTAAACAAGTAGCCCAGCAAGAAGCAGAAAGAGCCAGGTTTATCGTGGAGAAGGTAAAGTGGACATACAGGGGGTTATTTACTAAAACAGCATGGTGCAACATCTGGTGCGTCTGCATCCAATCAGATTCCAAGTTTTATTTTCAAAGCTTGATTGAACAAGCTGAGGTTAGAAGCTGATTGGCTACCGTGCACAGCTGCATCAGATTCTGAATGATCCAGTTTTAGTGAATCTCTCCCCCCCCCCCCCCCCCACAGTATCCATAGCGACTTTGGTGTCTAGATCTTTGGTAGATCCCTAGAGGTTCTATGGCTCTTTTAAATGAAAGTTGTTTAAAGTGAATATGTGCTTTGTCCATTCAGGCATCCACAAACACATATACTTGCCTTGCTTTTACTCCCATGCCACTCTGCTTGGCAATCAGGAGTGAAAGAGGGCTATGAACTCCCCCCGTGATGATTGGTCTAGCACTGCCACATGGGTGAATCACATAGATGTACATAAAGAAAAGTATCCACTCCAGAGGGGAGCAAAGCATAGCTGAATATGTGGTGCTGGGAGAGGGATTTAAAGGGATTGCAAAAACTAAGGTTCCTTACCTCCTTTTTGGCGGTCCTCTACTGGCACTGTCTGCTCCTTCTTCTGAGTGCCACTTTAGTAAGCCGTGTGCATCCATAGATACACACAGGGCCAGTAATCTACATGCCCTGCTCCCTCCGGGATCCTATGGCTCCTGGCTTTCTACTAGGAAGTGGAGGAGTGGTGCAGCAGCTGGGGACAGCTCTGGATACGTAGCAGGAGTTGCGTAAGGGGGTGGGGGAACAGGTAATGGGACGTTGTTCACCCTAATGCCTTCTCTATATTAACCCCTTGCCTACCGGTTACTTGTACCCCCTTCCTGCCCAGGCCATTTTTCAGTGCTGTCGCACTTTGACAAATGCACAGTCATGCAACACTGTACCTATATGAAATTTTTATCATTTTTTTGGAGACAGAGCTTTCTATTGGTGGTATTTAATCACCTCTGGGTTTATTTTTTGCTAAACAAACCAAAAACAACTGAATTTTGAAAAAAAGTTTTTTTTCTTAGTTTCTGTTATAAAATTTTGTAAATAAGTGATTTTTCTCCTTTACTGATGTGAGTTAATGAGGCTGCAGTGATGGGCACTGATGGGCGGCACTGATAGGCAGCCCTAATAGGTGGCACTGATAGGCGGCACTGACTGGCATTGATAGGTGGCACTGAAAGGCAGCTCAGATGGGCGCTGATATGTGGCATTGCTGTGCACTGGTAGGCACTGATCGGTACTGGCAGGTGGCATTGATGAGCACTGATAGGTGGCTCTGATGGGGCTACACTGATCATCAGTGCCCTGATGATCAGTGCAGATGTCCCCTCTGAGGAATGCCGATTACCGGCTGCCCTCTCCTCACGATCTGTCAGCGTAACAGCTCGTGAGGAGAGAAATGGCGATAACTGGCATTTCCTTATTTACATGCAATCAGCTGTGATTGGACATAGCTGATCACATGACAGTCAATATCGTCTCTTTCCGTTGATCGGTGATCCGTTGTGTCCCAGGGACACAGCGCACCACCGATCGCCACACGTGCAGTTAGAGTGGAAGGACGTCATATGATGTCCTCCCAGAACGAAAGAACCGCCTTATGTCTGTCATTTCCTTTTCTCCTGCATACCTTTTTACTGTCTTCTGCACAGAAATAATACTTGCCTAGCCAGAGTTCAACTGCTGATATGTTCCTTTCTGCAGCTGCTGGATGGGTCGGGCAACACCATGTTGCCTGTGACACCTGCCGGTTCTTTTGAGTGCAGGCGCTGCTACGACACCCCCTCCCTTTCCCCATACTGAATGGGACTGCACGTCATGCATCCCAGGAGGCACCGCATCATTTGCCTAGGCGAATTCCAAAAGTTGGGAGGTGGCCCAAACCTTTTAAAGCCATAAAAAAAAAAAATAGTAAATAAAAAAAAAAAAAAAAAAAAAAAAACCAACATCGGTGCTGCGAAAGGGGGCGGGATGGAGAGAAGGAGAATTCCATGGAAGGGTGAAGGTCCGCTTTAAGGTAAAAAAAAAAAAGTTTAGCCTTTAGAACCACCTTCAGTAAACCTATTTTCTTCTGAATGGAGACTACACATTACATCACCTTTTACATACCTTCTGATATTCTCCAAAACCTTTTACGTATTTCTCAATATTACTTTTTACTGTATAGTAGGTATAGTGTACTTTTATTATTCCAATGAAACTCTATATCATGGTGTTTGGTTGCTTGACTTAGAAATATGCGTTCTCTTCTTAATAAAGATTACAGAATAGTCTTATGACCTGGCCTTGTTATTATTTACAAAGGTTTTGCTCCTTCTAAATTATATTCTCTTGTTTTCCAGGCTGAACAACAGAAAAAGGCAGCCATCATATCTGCTGAAGGAGATTCTAAGGCTGCAGAACTCATTGCAGCATCACTGTCAGATGCTGGCGACGGTCTCATCGAACTGCGCAAGCTGGAAGCTGCCGAAGATATCGCATACCAAATGTCCCGATCTCGTAACGTCACCTACCTGCCCGCAGGACAGTCCACACTACTACAGCTGCCACAGTAACCTTGCAGGGCATACCCATCCCCCATGTTTGTATTTGTCCCTGTGTCCCCAATAAGGGCTTTGACAATGTCAATATTCCTAAATCCCTTTTCCCAGATCAGGGAGCAACTAACATTTTTGCTTCTTGAATAATCCCACAGTATCAGGTGCAGCAGTCTATAGTAACCTGTCCGAGCCAGAAACTGGCATTCAGTAGCTTTGTGGACAGGTGATTAAAAGGATAAAATTTTGATATTTAATAGGTTACTGCATACCAGTGCCAGTACTTCCATGGTATTGATTTGTCCCATTTATAAAAGTAAAGTCGCCTGGTTATGACTTTTGTTATAAATTCCTGATATAAACATACAACCCTATTGGCACAATCTATTGAGCAATCCATTACATTCTCACACTTTTAACAGCACTGTAAAATGGTGACTGTAAGCACTTAAAATAATATCTCGGGTCTCGTACTTGTATCACAATCTAAAGTTAACTCCACATGAGAGAAATAGAGAGGCTACCATTACGGATCCCCTTGTAAAAATGCTAGTAATGCTGATCCAGTGGCTTTAGAGCCCTCAGAGTCCCTGAACTGGAACAAGTACACAGATCAGTTCTGCAGTCTTTAATCTGGTTGCTTGTTCCAGGTCATTTACTCAGGTATGCACTCAGAGACAGACAGACAGTTTACAGAAAGTGAGCTCAGCAAGAATAGTGTCCATGTTTCTCTTATGACTGCAGTAGTTACTTTTCACATAGGATAGCCTCCCCGTACATAACTGCATACCACGTCAATGTCATTCCTCCCGTTTGGGGCTTTTTGGAGGGGAACTGTCTGTTCACACTTTTGATTTGCATTCGGGCTTTTCATTAAAAAAAAAAATCTGTATGCTTTGTGTCCTAGCTGGTATTTTTTTATTTTTTTTTTTCCATGAGACAATTACGTTGACCTTTTCGCACATAGGGTTAACCCCTTCACGCCTAAGGGTAAAACAAATCTAAATGCCTAAGCACAATTTTGCAACGTTGACATGTGTTAATAAAACCGTTCCTATCGTCACAACTACTTTGTACATCCAGGTGAATTATACCACATTTTTTTCAGGACAAATTGGGCTTTCATTTGGTGGTAAATGGTAATGGATATCTCCGTGATGATTTTTTTTTTTTTTTTTTTTATTAAAGGAAAACTGACCCAAAATAGTAAAAAAAAAAAAATTATTTTTTTTATTTAGCTGTGTTTCTTGTTCCTACCATAACCTACCACCAAAGAACAACCCAAAATAAATTCTCCAGCTCTTGACGATCGCAGCGATACCATATATGTGTATGTTATTTGTTCGTACCCGTAGTATAGCCCAAAAACAATAGTGCGCATTTTGTTTTTGTCCTTTTTTTTTTTTTTTTTTTTTTTTTTCCCTAAAACTGACATTGAAACCAGGTTTTTTTTTTTTTTTTTTTTTTTTTTTTTTTTTTTTTTTAAACCTTGACCCAAACACTAACTCTGGCACTGAACTAGATCAAACCTTGATCTAGGTATTTTTTTTTTAATACTTTTTGTAAAAAAAAAAAAAAAAAAAAAAAAAAAAAAAAAACTTTTTTTTTCTCTCTATGCCAGGAGTTAGAGAGATACAATGTATCTCTCTCCTCCATTCATAGAGGAGAAAAAAACAAGGGGGCCGGGCTGTACAGTGACTGATCAGAGACTATCGCAGTGTTCATGTGACCTGGAATCGAGAGTTCCAGGTCCCGATCGTTAGAACGGGACCTGGTGCTCTCAGTGACACCGCGGTCTTGTGCTGGGAGCGCGCAGCACACAGACAGGTACGCAAATATGCGGTTATATCCCCTGGCAGATTTTTTTTTTTTTTTTTTTTTCTTCCCCCACTTCTGTGTCCCATTTTCTGGTAATTTTAATTACATATTTACTCTGCATGTGCTGACTCTCATCAGTTACATTGTTTCCAGCTCTCCCTGTGAACTAAAGAACATCCTTATGGAGAGAAGTGGGTGTTCTAAATTCCTGTTCTAGGGTGACAACACTGCTCCTCCATTTATACAGTACAGAGCAAGTGCGTTGTCACCCTACAACAGAAAGTTGAAGATATTTTCAAGCTGTCCATTGCTGGGGTAGGTAGGACTAGTGCGCTACCGTTGGCTTCAGGAGGAGGACTAGTGCCCCCGTCGTTGGCTTCAGGAGGAGGAGGAGGACTAGTGCCCCCGTCGTTGGCTTCAGGAGGAGGAGGACTAGTGCCCCCGTCGTTGGCTTCAGGAGGAGGACTAGTGCCCCCGTCGTTGGCTTCAGGAGGAGGAGGACTAGTGCCCCCGTCATGCCCACACACCTCACATGATACCACATTGCCCAAGGCAGCCTCCCCTTCTGCCCACCCCTTGTCCCTGCCCTGGCTGCACCAGATTCTGAGTGCTCCAGTTTTAGTAAATCTCCACTTATGAGTTAAATTATCTACTACATTTGTCAAGAAAGTGACCCACCCTCCTGTGCTCTGTTCCTATTTTAAGCTCTGCATTTAGAAAATGCTGCACTGATGAGATGGTCTAGTTCCTGTAAATTTCCCTACTCTACTGCATACGTGATGTCAGCAGTCTCCAGCACAGGTTTCCGTTCAAATGAATCTGTCACTGGCCTGATGTAGACTCTTCAGTACACAGTGCTTAGTGCAGGGAAAATCTCCCAGCCGATTCTCCCCAATGCTTATGTACTCTTCACCATCCACCTGGGATCCCACCTCTGACATGATTTGCTTGGAAATTGACTTAAGTTCTGTTCACACCAGATGCACTGGCATGGTTTGATCAATGCATGGCAACACATATGCATTGTAAAAGCAATGTATTTCAATAGGAGCAGTTCACACCAGTATGTTGGGCTGATGTACGCTGCCCTATGCTGAAGAAAAAAAAAAAAAAAAAAAAAGTAGAACATGCCCTACTAATTTTTTTATTTTTTTTTTGTGCAACATGACACAATGCATGTAAGCACACTGCGATGTACCGTATTTTTCGCTCCATAAGACGCATCTGATCATAAGACGCGCCTAGGTTTTAGAGGAGAAAAACAAGAAAAAAAATATTCTAAACCAATGGACTGCGGAGTGCAGGAGGACACAGTACAGTACAGGAGATGACCAGAGACTGCGGACACAGTACAGGAGATGACCAGAGACTGCGGACACATAGTACAGGAGATGACCAGGACTGCGGACATATAGTACAGGAGATGACCAGGGACTGCGGACATATAGTACAGGAGATGACCAGGGACTGCGGACATATAGTACAGGAGATGACCAGGGACTGCCGACATATAGTACAGGAGATGACCAGAGACTGCGGACATACAGTACAGGAGATGACCAGAGACTGCGGACAGTACAGGAGATGACCAGAGACTGCGGACACAGTACAGGAGATGACCAGAGACTGCGGACATACAGTACAGAGACTGCGGACATACAGTACAGGAGATGACCAGAGACTGCGGACATACAGTACAGGAGATGACCAGAGACTGCGGACATACAGTACAGGAGATGACCAGAGACTGCGGACACAGTACTCGGCGCACTCCCAGCACAGAGACTGTGGTGTCACTGAGAGTCCCGGGTCCCGTTCTAACGATCGGGACCCAGGATACCCGATTCCAGGTCACGTGATTGCTGTGATAGCCTCTGATTGGCTATCACAGTGATCAGTCACTGTGCAGCCCGGCCCCCTTGTTTTTTTCTCTCTATGAATGGAGAAGAGAGATATACATTGTATCTAACTCCTGACATAGAGAGAAAAAAAAAAGATAACTATTAAAAAATAAAGAAAAATACCTAGATCGGGGTTTGATCTAGTTCAGTACCAGGGTTAGTGTTTGGGTCAAAGGTCAGGATTTAAAAAAAAAAAAAATTGGTGTCAGTTAGCGTTAATGTCAGTGTCGGTGTGTTTTAGGTAAACAAAAAAAAAAAAAAAGACAAAAACAAATGCGCACTATTGTTTCTGGGCTATACTACGGGTACAAACAACAAATAACATACACATATATGGTATCGCTGCGATCGTCAAGAGCTGGAGAATTTATTTTGGGCTGTTCTTTGGTGGTAGGTTATGGTGGTAACAAGAAAAACACTCAGCTAAATAAAAAAAAAAAAGATTTTTTTTTTTTTACTATTTTGGGCCAGTTTCCTTTGATAATAAAAAAAAAATTAGGAGCTATCCATTCCCATTTACCACCAAATGAAAGCCTAATTTGTCCTGAAACAAACGCGGTATAATCCACCTGGCTGTACAAAGTAGTTGTGATGATATGGATGGTTTTACTAACACATGTCAACATTGCAAAATTGTGCTTTGGCAGGGGCGGACTGACCATTTCGAAACTCTGGCACTGCCCGAGGGCCTGGGGTCAGTAGGGGGCCCCATGAGATGCCCCTGGTACCTTTTTCATAGGTTATTTTGCGTTTGGGCGAGGACACAGGGGCCTTATGATCCCCTATTGCCCGGGGGCCCCATGAGTTGTCAGTCCGCCCCTGTGCTTAGGCATTTAGATTTGTTTTACCCTTAGGCGTGATGGGGTTAAAATGCATCATGTGATGTGAATACATATGTGTGTCCCAACACACTGTAGTGTGAATGGACCCTTAGCCTGGTTCACACTGGATCTGACCTTGAAATCTACTTCACTTGATTTCAAAGCCTCATCTCAGTGCGACTTTTTGCAGACATCTCTGCAACTTCATGCACAGATGGCTATGCAAGTCGCACCTGAAATCACAAAAAAAATTTTTTTTTCCAAATCAGTGTGGCACCGCAAAGTCGGAGTCACACCGATTTGAATGGTTCCATCGCCGACAACCAGGTGCGATTTGTCATGCGATTTGAAACTGTCAAATCACATGACAAGTTGCACTGCAGGGAAGCAGGGCTTAATCATACAGCAGAAGGTAACAGGTAAGCAAAGGACTTTATATACAGTGGAGGCAATTCAATAAAGTGACATTTTTCTGGCTGGCCAAATTAATCAGTTCTGTACCAAATTCATGAAAGCCATGAAGTAGTTTTCTTGCTATTTTTCGACTAACTCGGGTAGGTCTTATGTGCAGCACCAGAGGCGGACTGACCATTTGGAAACTCGGGCACTGCCCGAGGGCCCGGGGTCAGTAGGGGGCCCCATGAGATGCCCCTGGTACCTTTTTCATAGGTTTTTTTTTTTTTTTAGTTTGTGCGAGGACACAGGGGCCCCATGATCCCCTATTGCCCGGGGGCCCCATGTGTTGTCAGTCCGCCCCTGCGCAGCACTTTTGCATGCTTCTGCAATAACTGCATCAAGAAATTCTTGCATGTTGGTGGTAAGAAAAGTGGAGATAAAGTTAACCTGTTCCATGCTGGAGTAAATTGTGTTGCAGAGGCAATTCAACAGATTTGTATCGACTTTTACTGACAGTTACATGAATCTCTTGCATGGACGGGGGATGTTCCGGCTCTCCAATCTAAGCATTGAAAGTGTGATCTTTAACTTACAGTTGTGATGAGATAGCGATAACTCCAATCTTAGTTGAATAACACAGGCAGTGACTCGATCAGATGACACCTTGTAGATTTTTTTATTTTATTTCAGGTACTTATATAGCGCCAATCAATTTACACAGCTCTTTACATATATATTGTACATTCACATCAGTCCCTAACCCTCAAGGGGTGTACAATCTAAAGTCCCTAACTCACATTCATATACCTTGTGAAGTTTATTCCGTAAACTGAGAGAATCTTCCAACAATGAACATCGCATAGGTCAAAGATCATAATGTGATCTGCTTCATGAGATGAGGCTAGAAGCTGCAATGCATTCCTGGGAAAAGGGGTGGGGCTATCTATACATCATGAACTAAACCAGAGAACAGGCAGGAGCAGAGACAAAATACAAGGAACACTTAAAGGCATATGACAGTCATGTGAAACATGACAGGGGACACATTTCTAATGATTTCCAGGGATTATCTCCTAATCAGGGGCGGACTGACCATTTGGAAACTTGCGCACTGCCCGAGGGCCCGGGATCAGTAGGGGGCCCCATGAGATGCCCCTGTTTATCTTTTCATAGGCTTTTTTGAGTTTGGGCAAGGACACAGGGGCCCCATGATCCCCTATTGCCCGGGGGCCCCATGAGTTGTCAGTTCGCCCCTGTGCAGCACTTTTGCATGCTTCTGCAATAACTGCATCAAGAAATTCTTGCATGTTGGTGGTAAGAAAAGTGGAGATAAAGTTAACCTCTTCCATGCTGGAGTAAACTGTGTTGCAGAGGCAATTCAACAACAGATCCCCTATTGCCCGGGGGCCCCATGAGTTGTCAGTCTGCCCCGGCTCCTAATACAGAACTCCAGCCAAAAATAACAAAATACTTTTTTTTTAAAAATTAGTCCAATAATAGAAAAAAAAAAAAAAAAAAAAAACAGTTTTCGTTGCTCTCCTCCCCCTGCAGTACTGCATTTTCTACCACTAGAAGCCCTCAGTCTGATGGACAGTGTCATTCAACCCACTTCCTCTGAGCCCAGACTGTGAATGGACAGTGAAAGAAGAAGCAGTACAGTGATGAGTTCATTTCTCTCTCCTATCAGCATGTTGCTGATTTCTTTTTCTGATCGATCTTCCCCAATAAGAATAATCGATCGCTAGTCGATGATTCAATTGATTGATCTATATGCCAGAGGTGGAAGTATTATTGATCAGTAAGGCCTGGTTCACACCAATGTGTTTTTCAGTGCGTTTTCAGTTTTGCAGAAACATACTACAGTCCATTTAATATGGTTTCCTATGGGTCCCTTATACTTATATATATCACAACACTTAAACCTATAATCTCCCAGAAAAGTGATCTACCTTCACCCTTGAAGGCCAGCTAAACAATATATATGTGACTTTTCTATGAGCAAATGCATCAAATCAAAATTAAATACATATACGTATATACAAGTTTTTTTTTTTATTTTTTTTTTTTTTTTTTTGTATATACAAGTTTTGGTTTTAATTTTGATTTGATGCATTTGCTCATAGAAAAGTCACATATATATTGTTTCCTATGGGTCCCGTTCACATCTGTGCGGTTTCCACTGGTATGTTTTTTGGAAAGGGTAAGGTACTTTTTTTTTTTTTTTTCCTGCAGCAGGTTGCGTTTTTGGTTCCATATGCTTCAATGGAAACGTAATAACAGAAATGCATAAAAAATACAGTGAGTCATGTTCACATCTGTGCACTTTTCACCAGTGTGTTTTTTGGCTCAGGGACTTCCCCCCCACAGGTTGTGTTTTTGGTTCCATAGACTTCAATGGAAACGCAGTGGAAATGCATAAAAAAAGCAGTGGGTCATGTTCACATCTGAGCGTTTTCCACTGGTGCATTTTTTTAGAAAGGGTCAGGGACTTTTTTTTTTTTTCAACAGGTTGCGTTCTTTGTTCCATATGCTTCAATGGAAACTTATTAATAAAAATGCCTGAAAAAATGCAGTAGGTTGTGTTTACACCTGTGCCTTTTCCACCAATGCAGTTTTTGGGTTAGGGACCTTTTTTTTGTTCCCCACAGGTTGAATTTTGGTTTCCTAGGTTTCAATGGAAACGTATTAAAAGAAATGCATAAAAAATGCAGTGGGTCATGTTCACATCTGTGCACTTTTAATTGGTGTGTTTTTTGGGTCAGGGACTTTTTTTTTTTTCCCCACAGGTTGTGTTTTTGGTTCCATAGACTTCAATGGAAACACAGCAAATATGCATAAAAAATGCAGTGGGTCATGTTCACATCTGTGCGTTTTCCACCGATGCTTTTTTTTTTTTGGAAAGGGTCAGGGACTTTTTTTTTGCAGCAGGTTGTGTTTCTGGTTCCATAGACTTCAATGGAAACGCAGTGGGTCATGTTCACATCTGTGCGTTTTCCACCAGTGCATTTTTTTGGAAAGGGTCAGAGACTTTTTTTTCGCAGCAGGTTGTGTTTTTGGTTCCATAGACTTCAATGGAAACAGTGAAAATGCATAAAAAACGCAGTGGGTCATGTTCACATTTGTGCATTTTCCACCGATGCTTTTTTTTTTTTGGAAAGGGTCAGGGACTTTTTTTTTGCAGCAGGTTGTGTTTCTGGTTCCATAGACTTCAATGGAAACGCAGTGGTCATGTTCACAACTGTGCGGTTTCCACCAGTCCATTTTTTTGGAAAGGGTCAGAGACTTTTTTTCGCAGCAGGTTGTGTTTTTGGTTCCATAGACTTCAATGGAAACAGTGAAAATGCATAAAACACGCAGTGGGTCATGTTCACATCTGTGCGTTTTCCACCAGTGCATTTTTTTTGGAAAGGGTCAGGGACTTTTTTTTTTTTTGCAGCAGGTTGTATTCCTGGTTCCATAGACTTCAATGGAAAGGCAGTGGGTCATGTTCACATCTGTGTGGTTTCCACCGGTGCATTTTTTTTGGAAAGGGTCAGAGCCTTTTTTTCGCAGCAGGTTGTGTTTTTGGTTCCATAGACTGCAATGGAAACAGTGAAAATGCATAA